GGGCCCAGTTTTGCTGGGTAGCGACGAATCCGACAGTCCTGAGTTCTTGTTCTGGCTGTGTGATGGACTGTGTAATATTGAGCAAGTTACATATCTTCTTGGAACCGCAGCCTCCTCATCTGTAGAATGAACAAGATAATGCCTACTCTGCAGGGTGAGGAGTCAGTCAAATGGCATCCACTAAGTGCCCGGTGCCAAGCCAAGGACATGGCACTCAGCCATCAGCTCTTACTAGTAGAGCTGTTTTTATTGTGACTCTGATTTTTCTTTCCTCTGCACAAATCCTGCTTTCAGCTATCATTTTTCCCAATTGTCATCATGGTTGTGATATTGCTCAATTCAAGAGAGAAGTATTATTTTAGTGTACAAAATTGTATTTCTGAATTGCCCACAGAAATGCTCTTAATAGAAAAATTGAGCACTATAAATGGTAACTATGAAATTCTCTCTAAAAGCTCAATTTTATTCACCATCGTCTACCAGACTTATACCATTCTTAGATACCCTCTGTCCTGATAAATCCACTAGACTCTTTGGTCTTCCTACTAAGCTGCCTTCATCTGTTTGTAACTTTTTTTGTCTTGTCTTCCTATTAATTGTCATCCCAATCTGTTCTCTGTTCTATTTGTGATAGCCTGTGTTGGCAGAAAAATTGGCCGAATGATTGAACATAATTTCCTCCCCTCCACCCTAACCCAGCTGGAAAGAACCCTTCACAGGCGTTCCCAGTGATCTACTTCCCTGCTCACGACATCTCGTTCCATCCCATCTCTCACCATCCTTCTGCAGCTGCCCCCTTCTTCTCTCCAGCTCTGTTCTTGTACGGGCCAAGGGCTCATCTTCAGTTTTCCAAATGCTGGCTTCTGCCTCCTACCTATGCTGGTGATATTCTGTCCCCATTTGTAATTTATATGCTACTTGTCTCTTCCATCTTCAACTGGATTAGAGAACAGACTTCTTTAGTCTATAAAGAGTCCATAGTGTGGTTTTCTTAGTATTTTTCTGAGCTTGAAGATGACAGGTTTTTGAGGTTTTGAGGTCTGTGTCCAAAAAAGGAGGCAAATTTCAGATGGAATTTTTAGCCTTTTTTTTTTTTTAATGCCCATATCCCAGAGCTTTCCAGTTCCAAGATGTTGCAAATTTGTATTTTTCCAAAGTATTTTTACACCAGTTATCTCATGGAGTTCCATGAGTTGGTTCCCATTTTGGAGCCCAGAAAGCTAGGGTTGGTAGACTTGTGTGAGTTCCCAGAGTCTCTCAGTGTGGTGGGAAGAATGGCTGCAGGAAAGCCCCATAGCTGTATCTTCACAGCACATGATTCAGAGGAAGACAAACCTTACTCCTTTTTTCCTCCTAGAATTTGTAGATGAAATCTCATAGAAGGACTCCATGTGACCCTTTTGTGTCTTCTGATTGTCCTCTGTTGGTGGGATGTTTCCATCTTTGGCCACCTCTGACCCCACCAGAACCTCATGGGATGGAGAAGGAGCTGCTCCTCAGAGAAAAGGGGAGTGCAGGGCAGACAAAACCAGGTGTTCACTGTATCCCTCCACTATAGGGCAATACCTCTGGATCACTGCCAGAAATGAAGATTTAGCATTGTTATAAGTATAAAACAGGATTGATATTTCCAAGGCAAAAAAGAATCTGAGTCCCTTGGCAGCTAATAGCATTTGTGTAGTTTGCTAACGATGGGAGCCTTCCCTGGGGAAGAGCTAACCAAGCTGTTTGCCAGGCTGTGTATGTGTCTGTGGGTGGGGTGGAGATGGCATACCCCTTTGGGCACCTGGCTTTAGTGTCCAAGTAGTTTCTGGGGTAGGATGCTAAAAAAATGTGGAGTTTATGTTTTGCAAATGTCTTTGTTAACAATGCTAGTTCCTTTCGCAGCAAGCATCATGGTGTAGTAGAGAGGTTTTATAAATTGTGTCCATGGTGCTAGGAGAATGAGAAAAAATAGAGAAAATTAACTTATTCAAACTTAACAGCTTTTGATTGAGTCTTTCCAAATAAGAGAAACCTGATGAAATTTCAGTTAACTAGTAGTTGGTTATTGAATGTGACTTTGGGATGATGGAATTTTTGTTGTGCATGTGTGTATGTAAACTGTGTGTAAACCAAATAATGAATTTGACCCTGTAATTTATTAATTCATTTAGTTACTATTTACTGAGGGCTTACAATTTGCTAGAGCCTGTGTCAGCTACTGTGAATTTGACAAGAATTCAGTTTGCAAGGCATTTGTAGTCATGTAAGGAATCTAAGACATGTGCATAAGTTGCTGCAGTAATAATAATAGCTATTTTTGTTGAATGCTTGCCATGCACCAGGCCTTGTGATAAATACTTCGTATGCAGTAATTCATTTGTTTTTCTAGATAATCCTACAGTTTGTGTTCTAATTATTCCCATTTTAGGGATGAGGAAATTGAAGCTCATAGAGGTTATGTAACTTGGTAAAGGTCATTCAGCCAGATGGTGGGGGCCAAGATGCAGACCTCCTGCACCTCTAGGGGGAATTTCATGCCAGGCTCATGTCTCTGTATTTCCTTCTGCTAAATCATAGCCCTCTTGTTTTTGTTAGCTCTCTAATGCTTGAATGGATTTTAAGAGTACTTCGTCCATGTTTTCTAGTTGTTCTCAGCAGCTGAATTGGTCTGCACTGTCTTGTCATCAGGAGTAGAATCTTCTGCTGTTCTGTTTTGCACCGCTTCAGCCTGAGCTGCTTGTGGGGCATCAGATGTGCCTCTGTTGCCTGCATTTGACGCTTGAACAAGAGCCTGTTTGGCACCTCCATTTGCTTTGGAAGTGCAGAGATAAACTTACCCTTAAAGGCTTAATCACAATCTTCATATGTGTCTTGCATAGGCATTACTAATAGAAACAGATCAATTTGTAATTTTTCTTACTCTAGACGCTCAGTGTCTGATTCATGCTTGTGCCTTTATGAGGAAAAGGTATAATAAACCTTTCAAGTAGGCTATTTTTTAAAACTTATTTAAGATAATTTAGCATTTGAAGATTTGAAGGCTCCAAGTAGAAAATTATTTAATTCTTCTTTACCTCAGTTGAATATTTTTTTGACATCCTGAAAATTGAACACCTGTGAAGGATTTCTTTCCAGCTGGGTTAGGGTGGAGGGGAGGAAATTATGTTCAATCATTCGGCCAATTTTTCTGCCAAGGGAACATACCTTAGCAAATGATGCTTAAGAGAAGTTTTTCTATTTTAAAAGAAAATCACGAACCATTTTTGTTATGCTTGGTTAATTACAAGTTTTTGCAAAGAGATATTAGGGATAAGGCCTTGGGTCTAAGTGATTGGGAATTTGGAAATATCTTTTTTGTATCAATTAAAAGTAAACACTCTTCATCTTATCACAAGAAACTTTACTTTCTTAATAAGAAATTACTTAGTTGAGTTTGTTTGCCATTTGCAACCATTTAAGTTTTGTTTCCCAACGACTGTGTTGTAATAGAAATGATAGTAGACTTGGAATCGAAGCCACTGAATGTGAGTTTCAGATCTGCCACCCACCCACCCATCCACCCATCCATCCACCCACCTACCCAGCTAACCATATATTCACCTATCCATCTGCCCAGCCACCCATCCATCCAATCAATTTTATTAAATGTCCATTCATGTGTGGTACTATGTCTAACATCAGTTATTGCTAATATGACCTTGGGCAGGTTATTCATCGCTCTTCTTTAAAGTGGAGCAAGTTTATAAACTATAAAGTGCCATATGATATGAGTTGACACCTTACCAACCTCACTTTCTATCATTTGCTCTTTCATCTCTGCTGTTTCCATGCGTGTTAAGCCAAAATTAGTATTAACTTTTAACACTTGCACAGATTGCCTCTGGTTGTTTGTTCTTTTGGCCTGGTTTACACTGGAAGTCTATCACACTTGACATACTCATAGGTATACTTCTACATGCCAGCTGGTTTCTGTTAGGGAACTTAAACTACTTGAAAATAACTTATTAGGAGGAAATCTCTTTATGTTCTTGAAAAATGATAAAACTATAAGTCAAACAACTCACTAATTCAGCTGGGGTCTTCTCTTCAGTTAATGGGAAGGAATTAGTGGGCGACTGAGGTCCAGATCAGGCAGTGGTCCTGGAGACCTGTGCAGACTTTGGCATTTCCTCTTGAGTAAATTGGGCAGTGTGGGAAGGGCATGGTGTGGTTTACACTTCGGTAGGCTACCTCTGCCCGCTGTGTGGAGAGTAGATGGTACAGGAGCAAGGGTGACGCGGGAGAACAGCCAGGATGGAAATGGCAGTGACTCAGACCAGGGTGCTGGCCGTGAAAGCCATTTGTGGATGTACTCTGAGAGCTAGCAGGATGGGACGTGGGGTGTTAGACCCAGAGAGGACTTACTGTCAACCGATAGTTAACATTAACAATTGAGACCAGGTGGCAGTGAATGGTCCTCGGAGGTTTAAATATGGTCCTGTGGCAGAGAGTGGTGGCTGCTTGAAATCGGGCGATGAGGTGGCATTTAGACTAAGATAGAGTGGTAAAGTGGAGCTGGCCACAAAGTGGGGGAGAAGCATCCCAGCCCGAGGGAGCAGCCCATGCAGAGGGCCCGAGGAGAGGGATGGGCTTGGCATGGTCCGAGCTTAAAAGGAAGGCTGGGGGGCCTAGGGCTGTCAACTGCGGGTGGAAAGTAGCTGTCCTTTTTCAGGAGTGGTACTTTCTCTACTTTTTATGCATAGTAGGTGTGAATGTATGCTTATGGAAAATTCATCAGGCAGTTGTAAATAATACAAGATAGGATAGTAAGGACAGAAACTGGACTTGGAGTGCTCTTCCAGTTACTATTTTTTTTTTTTTCAGAGTTAGGGTATTGCTGTGTTGTCCAGGCTGGTCTTGAACTCCTGGGCTCAAGCAATCCTCCTGTCTCAGCTTCCACTAGTTATTGTTTTTAAATAAAACCCTCTACATTAAAAATATCAAGCTAACTTACAATTTTTATTCTTCTTTTTTAGATGGAATCAGTGTGAGTGGCTTTCCTCTGTCCAGTCCTTTTCGACAAGTCGTTCGGCCCCGAGTGGAGAGCAAACCTATGAATCCATCTGAGAGCAGCAAAGCTGGTGACTTCAGCCATGTGAAGGTGAGTCGATTCTATAGACAGCTAGTTTGTCGAGTGCCTTTTGTGGTTTCTGCAAAGCTTTTTCTGAAGCAAAGTTTTGAATGTTTTTCAGAAGGGAAAGGAAGTGTGTATATGACAGCTGCTTTCTCAGTATTTTTCGTTCTTGTACAATGTTTTGGAAACCAGTTACAATGAAGCTTAAGTGCGTTGTGTTGGGGTGGCAAAAACTCGTTTCCTTGAAACATTGAGATTTTGTGGGCTGACTCAAACAGTGCAGTGATTAAAGTAGAATATTTCTTGCCTTTTCCCTATTCATTTGAAAAGTTTATTTATTGCATGCTTATTCTCAGTTCAGATATCTATCCCATACATTTTTATTAATCCTTCGTTAGCTCTTTCCAGTTGTTGGTGAATAAGCACCGAGGAAGCCAAAATGAATATACCAATAAAAAGTGAATGTCAGTACAAAGTTGAGATGGCTTGGGTACCAGCAGGAGCAGAGACAGCTGGCTCCAAGGAGAGGTCTGTTCTAGAGCACCCAGTTTTTGCGTTATCAGCACATGGGGAAGCGCTGGCTGTTTGAACCTGCCTGGGGGTAGTGTGTGTGGTGGGTGGACTGAAGGTCTTAGGAGCTGAGACTGGGCAGGCAGCACGGTCACTTTCAGGTGAGCATGTGTTTAGGGCCAGCCTTTGGAACACTGTTTGCAATCCTTATGCCAAAATTAAGAGGTGCATTGACTGGTTAGGACCGTAAGAATGACTTAGCCAAGATGCTTGTGAGTTAGGGCACAACAGATTTTGAGGGATTGGAGCTGCTCTGAGTAAACCCAGGTGAAGGGTAGAGGAATGCGAGATGCTGTGGAAAGTGAGGTCATGGCCAGTTGTGGTTGACAAAAGTCATGTCTGTGGATCAAAACTGTAAGGAGTTAGGTTGCAGGGGGAGAGTCTTATCCCTTTTTCTTTTCTCTGCAGTAAAGAAAGAGAATGTTGGTATAGCTGGGACCCCTCAATCACTGGGGTGCTGCCCCTCACAGCTGCTTGGTTGCTACGTGGTGGGGCTCTCGTGTTAGCCAGGGGGTTGGGTGTGGGGCGGAGACTCCCAGCAGAGGGAGCACAGGCACAAAGGAGCAAACAGCACGGCACACGCACATAGGATGCTGCTGGGGCAGGGGCTGGGACAGGGAGGGGTGGGGAGCAGGCGGGAGAGGGGACTTTCTCAGAAGGCCCCAGTTTCACTCCAACCCCAGCCTTCCTATAGCCTCATCCTCGCCACCCTTGGACTTTGTGTTTATGTACTTCTGTGTCATTGCCTTTGCCAATGCTCGGCCCCAGTGTGCGGCCTCAGCGCCTGTCTGCCACCGAGAGCAGCCAGCACGCGTCTCTCTTACCCGTAGCGACACACACAGTCTCCTCTTGGAGCTGTCAGGGATGCTGCCGGTGGCCACGATGGCTTTCTGTAGACAGCAGTAGCTTTGGAGTGAGGAATGTTGAAGGAAGGAAGGTTTATGTCACCCAGGGTCTCTCTGCTGCTAGTGACGTCTCACTCAGCTGGTGTCTGGTTTTGAACAAATGATCAGTACTGGTTTGGTAGTAAGACTATTGGTGGTGGGTAAAGGCTAAAGAGATGGAAAAGAAGTGCCCCTCAGGAAATCAGGAGGAGAGTGTCTCCCTTAGAAACTGCTAGTTTTTCCTGTGTATGGGCCATACTTTCCTTTTTCTTTGCATGTTTCATAATATTTTGTGGAAAGGTGGACCCTTTGGGTAATATATTGTAACATGTTGGATTCTAAACCTCCCTTCCTTCCTTGGGGTGGTGGTTGTTGCTGTTCTTATTTGTTTGTTAATTTGCCTTATTTTTGTGGAGTCTGTTTCCCCCACACTGTGTGCAAAGTCTCTACTTGTTACTATCTAATTATTATTTTTATTGTTCGCCTGGATTCCTAGGGCTTACCCCAGGTTCAGGGGGGCTTAGTGATCCAATATGTGATTAGAGTTGTGCTTAAACACTTTGATTCAGTGAGGCTCCACCCCTCACCAATGGATCTACACGTGCCTTGGGGAATACCTGGTTTTTCCTCTCTGAATTCATAAGGCCTCACGTTGATCCAGGGACCAGTGGCTCACTGGGGCCTTCTCTGGTTTCTCTTGACTGTGTGTGGGCTCCTGCATGTGCAGGCCACCACGGATACATGGGGTGCTACCAAGGCCTCCTTTTGCTCTTTTTTCTTCCTTTTTTTGGGACAGAGTCTGGCTCTGTTGCCCTGGCTAGCATGCCATGGCATCAGTCTAGCTAACAGCAACCTTAAGCCATCCTCCTTCCTCAGCCTTTCGAGTAGCTTGGACTACAGGTGGCCTGGCTAATTTTTTTCTATTTTTCATAGAGATGGGGTCTTGTTCTTGCTCAGAGCTCAGACTGGTTTCGAACTCCTGAGCTCAAGAGATCCTCTTGCCTCAACCTCCCAGAGTGCTAGGATTACAGGTGTGAGCCACCGCGCCTGGCCTTTCTTTTCCTCTTTCATGCACCAGATCTTTCTGTTAAATTTCTGGCTGGTCTGTGCCATTTTGTTGTTTGTCCCAGCTAGTTTTATGACTTCAGGTAAACTACAATGTTAGCATTCCCTGATTGTTTGCTCCTTAGATCTGCAGTTATTTTTGACAACACCCCATGAGTTTTCCACCCTCTGTTCCAAAAAAATTCAGCCTCTTCCAGCAGGCAGTGGAGCTGCCAGTTTTCCCACCTGCCTCCCCTGCCCAGGCTGAGCTCGTGCACTGAGGAGCTGGGGTAGGCGGAGCGAAGGGAACAGCCCCTGGCTAAACGCAGTCTCCCTTATTCTTATCAAGACCAAGTAGATTTTCATGAATAGATTCTTCTCAATTTGTTGTATGCCTTTGCTCAGTTTGAAAAGTCTTTAAATGATTGTTCTTGATGGCTTTGTCCATTTTTATTTTTGCTATCTGGGCAGAGGTTTAGCCACACTTCTCACTAAGCCATTCTGAAAGTGCCCACCCTCAGCCCCACATGCTTTCTGGTTATTCCTTCAAAGCTGAGGATGGAATGAAAAATGTTTATTTGGAAAGGTGTTGCTTTGAGCCCATTAATATCTCAAGTGTTTATTTCCGAAATGTTGACAGAGTAATAGAAAGGCTTAAGTTTTATAGTAACTTCCAGCAGCTCTGCTGCTTTTTTGGTGTGAGAGCAGGTGAACTTTTATATGTAGATCGTCTATGTGCTTTTGTCTGAGCACCTGAACTCCTTATAGCATTCTCCATTACTTTATTCAATGTGTGATCCCTGTTATTGTCTATTTCCCTTTATTATAGTAGGGATTAGCTGGCATGGGTACACTTAAGACATTTGGGGGACCGGGGTGCTTACATTTATTTGTAAACTCTTCTGATGCCACTGTAGGGTACTGCATTTATTTGTATTACGATGTAAATTCAGACACAGGTTTATGGACTCTTCCATGGGAAAGGAGCCCAGCTAGTATCCACTCCTTTGTCTCTCCACACTCAAATCCTGTCAAAGGCTGTCCACTGCCGCTGACGCCTTCTCCACAGAGCAGCCCCACTCTCAGACTCCAGTTGTCCCTCAGAGTTTACTTTTCAACCTTATGCTGCTTTATATCTTCCTTTCACCCTTTCTTGTGCTATTCCAGACCTCTTTCCAGGTAGAGGCCAGAGACGAGGTCTTCACTTTGCCTCTCTACCCCTCATCCCTCCATCCATTTTGCACTGATGCAGTGGGGCCAGATGTGGCAGCTCCCCCTTATGCCACTGTGTTCCTGTGCCTCTGGCCCTGAGCATGTGTCCGGCGCATTGGGTGCTGCGTTCCTTTGGACAGGTTCCTATCCCAGCAGTGCTGACTCTCCACCAAGGCTGGGTTCAGGCCCCTTTCTGACCCACCCTCACTCTACCTGTTTGCTTAATGAAAGCACAACCTATATTGTGTTCCAGTCATGGGTCAGCTATGATGCTTGGCCCTGGAGGTGGGACACGATGATTGAATTCAGGGGCCTACTTTTTAGGTGCCCTTTAACCAGGAGGCTACCATATAAGTCAACAACTGAAACGTAGTTAGTATTGTGCAGTCACTCAGCATTGTTTACTAAGCACCTACTATGTGCTGAGTAACATGCCAGATGATGGGCACACAGGGATGCATCAGACAGCTCTTGACTTCAAGGAACTCATGGGCTGGTGGGAAAGATAGAAGGAAACAAAACAAGAAAAAACAACTAGAATACAGGTAATGCTGATCGCTATGGTTGTGCAGAGGAAGTCAAGGAAGGCCTATCAGAGGAATTGGTACTTGAATGGTATATTGAAGGAAGAAAAAACTGGAGTGAGCCAGCAAACCAGGGTGGAGGGGTATTCCTGAAGTTGGAAATGGCATGTGCAAAGGCACTGAGGTCTGCATATGCATAGTATGCTGCTGCATGTCTGGTGTCCTGGAGCACAGGAACATCGTGCAGGACTGAAGGGAAGTTGTGGCCAGGCTGTGAAGGGTTTTGAAGGCATGCTAAGTTCATCAATTCCTTCCTACTTTTCTTACTCACTCATGCTTCTTTTGGGGGCATCTAATACATCTCAGGCACTATATTAGATGATGAGAGGATTTCTCTTTCTCCCACAGGATAAACTCTTACAGCTTAGTGTAAAATTTCAAAATTTAGGAGATACTGTTCACATTTGGTTGCCTATGGCATGAATTTTGTTTTCTTCAATTGGATGTTGCAAGAGCGAATGTGGTGTTTTTCTGTTTGAATGATGATAAATGTATAGAGATACAGAAGAATGTTTGTAGATGTATTTAAATGTAATTATTTAAATATAATTACCATTTACCAGACAAGTCTTGTGTATTAGGCACTTACATATAAATTGTCCTTCTAGGGTCTCATGAGAGCTGTTTGAGTAGATGGTATTATCCTCCAATTAGAAAACTGAGGCTCCTTGAGGTAATGTCACACTATCTAAGTCACCCATACTGGTCTCTGTCCATTGCACTGTGACACCTT